GGAGCCGGTCGCGGGAGAGGCGAGTGCGCCTCCGAAGACATTTTTGTTAAAGTTACATTAGGAGAGAAAGACTTCTCTGGGGTGGGAGCCGGTCGCGGAATAGAGGCGAGTGGCGCCTCCGAAGACACTTTGTTAAAACCTACATTAGGAGAGAGAGACTTCTCCTGGGGTGGTGAAGTCAGTCGCGGAGGAGAGGTGGGTGCACCTCTAGGCTTTGGCCCCAATTTCAAAAACTTTTGGAAAAGTTTTAAAAATTAGAGAGGAAGTGCAAAGGCACTTACGGGGGGATAGGCGAATCTTTTGCCCACTGCTTCTGCAGCTACAAAATTCGCATTCCGCTGAAATTTTGTTCGAGAGGAACCCGCAGACGGCTTCGAGAGACAATCTCTGGGTGCTCCGCATACTTGTATCGGGGGTCAATAACCCCGGACATTACGACTACGCCGAGCCCAGCCTGCCAGACGACCCTTCGCTGATGCCACGGACCGCCCGCAACCCGGCCGTCAGCCCAGCGCCTCCTGAAGGCGTGCCCCGGCGCATTCTTGAAAGACATCCCGGCCGCCCACCAAGCGCCCTCGGCGCTCGCAAAGGGCCTACTGAGCACATTTGTCACGGAGGGTTCAGGGCAACGTAAATCAGGGCGCTAATAAGCCCTTAGAGACTAATTGTTAAAGCGGTGGCCGCGCTGAGGACAGAAAGGTCCTCAGGGACAACATTTGTAATTGTAGCTATAGAATAATTTTTGTACGCAGTTTTTTTTTTTTTTTTTTTTTTTTTTCTCTTCTTAGTTTGTAAGTTTCTTCTTAATTTCTAATCTTTTATTTTATTTTATTCGCCATTTTCTTTCACCTCGATGTAACTCCCTGGTAACAGCGCCTGTCCAGGATAACATTGCTTTTACCAGTAACCAAATTGTTGTTTTTTGAATGCCCATGCATGCTTGTTTAGCAATGCCTTCGCATCACTGCATCATATGAGTAAAGGGAGTAGGACCGACTGAGCTAGAACCGGGCCGCTAACCGCGCGCGTTTCCCTACGCAGCGCGTGTTGGTTGTTACAATAGGATGTTTTTTGTCTTAAAGAAAGTCTGTTTATAAGTAATTAGCTCTTTAAAAAGATTATGTTTAAAAAGATTACTTTAAAACCAAAGAGTTGTTTAGCGTAATTTCTGGTTGAAATTAATGCAAATTATAAAATAAATATTTTCTCAAAAAATGATCATTTTTCATATATTAAAACAAGGGTTACGCTGAAAAGAATCATTTAGTTCCCCACCGCTTCCATGATGTCAGAAGGTAAGGCTCACACCGATTAACTCGAAGAAACTGAGTTTGAGTCACGATACGGAAAAAAATGTTTGCGCGAAAACTTCACCTTGGTTATCTCACTAATTTTTATTTGTTATTGATCTTTGTTGTTAATTTTAAAATTTTAATAAGTACTTATTTGCATGTTGGTTGTTTTATTAATTGCTTCTTTATGATTTTTATTGATAAACTGGGAACATTGACTAATTAGGAACAGATGATATCCAACATTATTTTTATATCAAAAGTGTCAAAAGTGAACAAAAGTGTCCGGGCACGTGGCTGAAAATGACTTACCAGTTCGTGATGCCTTCGTCAGTAATGCTGGAATTCAGTGGGGGTTAGCCAAGCCGTTTTAGTCTTGATGTCAGCTTCCCCTCTCGGCTAAGGTATACTTCAATCAGGAGCTGGAAAGGTTTCTTGGGGAATGGCACACCATTTCTTCACGGGTGTTGCACTGAGAGAGGTATGGATGTTAGGCCGGTTGAGGTCTGGCACGAAGTCGGCGTTCCAAAGTATCCCAAAGGTGTTCGATAGGATGTCAAGTCAGGATTCTGTGCTGTACCAAGTCCATTACAGGGATGCTATTGTTTAACCACTGCCGGCCAGCAGCTGTGCAGTATGAATAGGTGCTTCGAC